AATAGTAATTGAGAGGATCTTAATTGCAGTAGACCTATGGTTTATGTGTGTAGCTCGACTGGAACGCTCCAGCTGCCTGGTGTAGATCACATGCAGACAGCTTTCTCCAAATTTTCTTTGGCTGGATCATTTTCCAAAAGCCCTTTTTTCATGCAGCAGTAGAATGAAAACTATGTCCTTTCTAACCAACTCTGGTATTAACATCAATTTGAACATTCCTAAGTAAGAGCCCAGGAATATAGATATGCAGTCCAAAGGGGGAAAATAAACTCACTAATGTGAACAATGTCCTTTTGATAACTGAGTTCTGGATCATTTTCCTTCTTCTTATCTGCTGTTTCTCTGCTGTCCTGTTCAAAACAAAAGGACCATGAACCAAATAAGGAGATTTACACCATGTTGCTCCTCCAAAGAGCCTTCAAGAGGTGAAGTTAATATGAGGGAGGGGGGCACAGTTCTGGAGTAGCCAACACAGGGGAGTGGTGGAAGGGGTAAACAGTGGGAAAGGGCTGTCACTAGAGACTGGGGCTGTCTCCAAACCTCCAGTCAAGTTTAAATCACATACAGCTCCGCCGACTCTCAGTTTGCATCCTCCTCTCTGCCCTCTCGCTCTGCGCTCCCTCTGTCTCTCTCCTCCTCTCTACATCTGCTGGTTGCTCTTTCCCGTCAACCTTGTGCGGGCTCTTGTGAGGCGTCTTCCTCTGAACATCTGCAACAGCTTTTCACCTAAAGCAATAAAAGCCTTTTTTTTATTCCTCCGAAGCCTGCGAGACACAACTGTCACCATGGAGGCCATCAAGAAGAAGATGCAGATGCTGAAGTTGGACAAGGAGAACGCCATCGACAGGGCAGAACAGGCCGAGTCCGACAAGAAGTCGGCGGAGGATAAATGCAAGCTGGTGAGACAAATCTGGTGGAGGTGACGGACTGGCAGAGCAATGTGTGCTCTTGTTTAACACTCATTGTTGTGAGTTGGGCAATAATTAGATATCATAATATATTGACTTTCAAGATGAGATCAACTTTATTGATCCCACACCGGGTACTTGAAGAAATAAATACAAGAAGTATAGAGAGCTACTGCAACGATATGGTTATAATTGTCCAAATTGACTCATCAAAGCAAACTGTAATTAAAAAGTTACTAAATTAGATATTGAAGATTTTTTGTGATGTACTCCATAACTTGATTATCATATCCGTAATTTTGTGTACATTTTCCATATCATGATATATATCAATATCAAAAAACATTATTACGTGATTGATTTTAACTATATTTCTAATTATACAGCTCCGTCGAGAGTGGTAAGAATATATAAACCTTATTGTAACAAAGTTGGAAATAGGTTCATGTGTTCATGATTTCCTTCTGAAGTATTTTGAGTCTCTTTCATTCACTGATAAACCAACTTTATTTTTGATTATTTTGTGAAAACAGCCTAATATGATTAATTTGCTATTCACATATAAGTTTAAAATATTGTTATTTTTTACGGTCCGGTCTTAAATGAATAAATACTAAACCACTTGTCCAGACTGCAGAGGGGCTTAACATAAAATGTCAAGTATTTCCCAAAGCACCAAACTGCTGAATTACAGAGAGCAGCTGATACTGAGCCCCTGAGTCTTGTCACTTGGTGGGCAGACGAAGGTGGAGGATGTCCACAGGGACGCACAAACAGAATGGCAGAGTGACGACTGCTATCCACATCCACAGTGAACCAGAGGGATTACTTGAAGCTACCAGACGTGGTGCTGCAGGAGTTTAAACAACCCATCTATAGCAGCTGTCGCTCTGACTCTTAAGCAGGAGAGTACTTCATTAGCCAGCATTCTTATCTGAAATGAAGTCTGCAATTTATCAACAGCAACCTCACCAATTCCTGCACATTCATATTTGGTGCTGCAGTGCAAGAACCTAAGAGAGTTTGATATGTCGAGGGCTAACTTAATCATAGTGTACCACTTGACACAAGAATCTGGAGATGTAATATGACATTTGAGGCTACTTAACTACTACTACTTATTGCCCAGTGAGACGTGGTGTCGTCATCACGGCGGTACGAGAGGAATGCTGGAGAGCAGGGAGTTGGAAAGGCACAGACAAAATTGGATCTACATTGAAGCAAGTGGAAAGAATCTTCTCTCTGGTCTCTAATGCCCTAATCACACCCAGGGAGTGACAGTTGTCTATGGCACCGCACATATGGACCCCCATCTTGTCTTCCACATCAAGGAGCAGTCAGCATGAAATCCTAGAAGACTATGCAGAGTTCCTTAGTTTTTTTTGATGACATTGATTCAAGCAGTGCTAAGAGATGCTTTCTTTGCTATTCGTGGCGCGATGGCACGAACATCAGAGTGCAGTTATTCTGACGGAATATCAAAAGCAATACTCAATCTTAACATACATCACAGACAACAGTCTCCGGCAGCAATTAAAAGGACCGGCTCACCTAAACTACAACAGCATATAAGTTTATGACCAAATACCTGGATAACTGACATTCCCATCAGCCTAAACCGTACTTGTTGTTTACTGCTAATTAGCAAATGTTAGCATGCTAACACATTAAAGATGGTTAACATTGTAAACATTATACCTGCTAGACATCAACATCATCCTTGTGAGTATGTTAGAATGCTGATATTAGCATTTAGCTCAAAGCATTGCTATTCCTACATAGAGCACCACAGAGTCACTGTCATTGCTTTAGACCTTTAGTCTTGTTTTGAGACATCTAACTTTCTGAGGTTGGCACTAGTTATGTCCTGACATCAGAGTGCTTCTGGGGATTGAAAAGATCTACTTAAGTGGATTGTCCTGGATCCTGGATTGTACAAAGCAGTGTTTTATTCAGACTTACTTGGTTTGGTTTTGCTGTATCCTTCCTGACTCTGTCACGTTTGCCTTCCTTCAGCTGGAGGATGAGCTGCTCGCTATGCAGAAGATGCTGAAGGGTGCAGAGGATGAGCTTGACAAGTACTCGGAGGCCTTGAAGGATGCTCAGGAGAAACTGGAACTGTCGGAGAAGAACGCCACAGATGTGAGTTAACCACGACGCCATCTGAAACACATTATCCACATTGCAGTGGAACGCCACAACTTATGAGTTTCAGTTTTATAACATATTGATTACCACTCTTTCAGACAGGCTATACTAAATATCACTCCAGGATTGGAAAAAGACCAATAAAAAGAATTTGCAGACAGATGTTCTTTTCTGTGTTGCCTCCACTGCTTACACTCCCTAAAAAAGGCCATGTCTGGACTCGCCTTAATAGTTTGGTTGTTTCTTGAGAATTGAAACTAGCAGCAGAGTGACGCTCAGAAAATATAATAATCAAAAACTGCTTTAAATGTTATTTGTTTATTTGTAACAAAGAGCACAATCTTCAAGTCCCTTGGCTTCTTTGATTTCAACAAAACAAAGGGAAAAAAATACAGTCAAGTCACACCAAAGGTTTGCCTTGTACTACAGTATGTATGTTGGAAACAATTTACACAAAACTACTAATTATCTTCTACCCCACATAGTGTTCATAGAGAATAGAGAACATAGAGAATCACTGAGTTGTGGGTGTCTTTGTGAGGTCTGTAAGAGCCTTTTCTCAAGCACAGACACAACTTGGTCGGCCTGTAGCCGACCAGGAATCCCAGGAATGCTGCTTAAGCAAACAGAGAACTCCATACTGCAGTGTCTAATGAAATCAATGCTCTGGCCTTTTTTGGGGGGCAGAGATATGACACTCTGCTCTGTCTGGCCCTTACAGTACATTCCTTATCAGCAACATTGGTGAATAATCCTTTGCCTTCAAATAGCATCTATTTAGCATGATCTTTCTTTAACAGCAATATCTCAGTTACCTTAACGAGACGATATCTGATTAAATGTTGTATTGGATCTAAAGCAACAGGTTCAGAAAAAACAATATGGTGACAAACAGACTTGTTTGCTTTTTTGGGCAATTGTGTCCAATACTATTGATATAACACTGGAAATACTTTTCTAATGTGGTTTTATCAGAGACGCGTAACGATTGCCTTCTTTTACCATCTAGTTTTTCACATTCTTAGGATGATGCATTAACTAGGAGCAACAATAAGATTTTCTTTTGTCTTATCAGCAGTCCAAAACCCAAAGATAGTCTGTTTACATTTACATAAAGTATATATTTTATGTAAAAAGCAGAAAATTCTCACAGCTGAGAAACTGGAACCAACAAATGTTTGGCATTTCGGTTGAAAAATGAGTAAAATGATTGATCCATTGTCAAAATAGTTGAATGATGAATTTTCAGATGATCAATTTATGTTTCAGTTGAAACAATTGAATACATTGCATCAAATAAAAGTAGCCTTCACAGTGAATCTAAAACTAGTGAAAGCAGTAACCCCAGGGTTAAAGGTCAGACTACAAGAATGCAAATTATTTCTGTCTCAGGTGACCCATCAGATGCCCGCTGGTCTGCTTATTGTCTGTCCGTCCACCACTACTTCTTCTTCCACTGTATTTCACGGTGCTTATAATACACATACATGTCATACAAGGACAGACAGAGAAAATCAATCCGGGTTTTGCACTAAAAAGTAAGGAAGAGGAGGAGGTGACCGAAGGGGGCGCTGAAGGAATGTGTCGCCACCCGATGGCTGCGGGCCATGTCTGCAAACAAAGCCATTTACATTCCAAGCTGCTGCAGGTCAACAACCCCCGTAGAGCAGCATTATAACCGGCCCACCACTGACCCTGCCTCCTCACCCTTCCAGGAGTCAATCTTTGCACCTTTGATTTCTACAACTCAACAACAATTTTACAACTCGCGTCTCTCTCCTCCACCCACTCAAGCTTGAACTTGTATTATCTTTTCTCCCTCACACACACGCACACGCACACACACCTACACCTACACACCCACTCATATCCGTGTGTTGTGATTCACGTTGGATATGATTCATAGCTCTGAATCAGATGAGGCAACTTCCTCTGTTGATCGCTGTGCCCTCCCTCCTTCTAATCGGAGCAGAAACACGTAGCCTGAGCGACACCTTACATTTGCCATATAAGTCCACAATAGAGACTCGGGCACTGACTTTACACACCTCTTTTGTGGAGGAAACGAGCAGCGCCTTCCCCTCCTAAATCCTGTGATGTCATCTGAGACAGGCTTCCTCACAGGATTGGAGGATCTCGCCATAAATTTCCTGAAAACTCCCAACCCCTTTTTTGTCTTTCCCCATCCCAACCCTACACGTCCGTGACTTCCTGCCCGAGATTACAAAGTTTTCCATCGGAGCCTACGACTTTTACGCAAATCAATAACTTTTAAGGACACAGCAAGTCGATCTAGACCGCTACATTATCCGGGCTCCTTTTTTTGTTTGTTGAGAAAACAAAGTAATCGAGGTTATGGAGGTGGTGAGGAAGAAAATCCAATCCCTCCAGCTGCAAGTTGATGAGGCAGAAGACCGTGCACTGGCGGTACAAAGGGAGTTGGACACTGAACGGGAACAGCATGAAAAAGTGAGATAATTAATAATGTATCCAACTTCAGTCGCATTTATTTACTTTATATGTACTGCTCTCATACCAGTTGAACATGTTTACTGCATATTGTAAATAATTTACACGCAGACTGTCAGTGTTGGACTGCATGAAGCGACAACGGTACTCTCATAACACTCCTGTAAGAATTCCAAAAGTTTCCTGCGTATCCCGATGGTAAATGTGTCGATTTAATCTTGTAATGTGTCGATGTGGTCGTTTAAGAGGTGTATGGGAAGTTGGGGCATCATGGTAGCGACATTCCTTCTCAGACTTTTGTTCGACTGCGTTATCTAACTTAAACCCGCCCTAGATCCTCTCAAACACCTACAATTGCAACGAGAGCCGTCGGCAGCTATTGCATCAACCGCCAGCGTGGTTGTTGTTTTAATATTAAGGTGTGGCAGTTTTATGACTTTTTTAAAAGCTGGAATTTTCACCAAAATAATGTAAAAAAAAAAACCCACATAAATGGTTTGTTTCCAGTAATCTTTGTTCTGCTCGCCTTATGAGCTTTTTACCTGAATAGCTTTTGACACATATCTGAAATGAGGAGCTGACTGTAATCCCTCCGCCACCTCCTCAGTCTCTGCACAGGAAGAAGAGAGCAGAGGCGGTTATCTGTGATATCAGTCCCACAGGAAACGGGCCCAGAAGAAGCAATCTGTTGTCCCCTCAAACATAAATGGCTGAACATTACAAACAGTCAGCCCAGCTGTGCCACTTCGGATAGGACAGGGTTAACTCTGCCACTCTTGTTGCTCTCTGCATCAGCAGTTTTCAAAGAGTCTGGTCAAGCTGCAAAGTCCAGAACTAACAATGGTTGTTGTGAGTGAAACTGATTTACGCGGAAGAAATCAGATTTATTGGAAAAAACAAAATGGGGTTATATGCATACGTAGAAAGTATTGCGATCGGTTCCAAAGAATAAATATGCATAATTAAATAACCATCAAAATACAGCTCATAATATTCAGACCTTCAGTACTGCAGTACTATTAAGACAATACACTCAAAACTAATATAATCTACATAGCTAGTTTCCATTGTGCAGCTTTGGCCATCCTCAACAGTATCCTTCCTCTTGTGGCAGCAGCTTGTTTCCTGGCTAACCTCTGACCTCTCTTTCTCTGTGTGTACGTGTGTCGCTGTAGGCGGAGGGCGATGTCGCATCTTTGAACCGCAGGATCCAGCTGGTGGAGGAGGAGCTGGACCGCGCTCAGGAGCGACTGGCCACAGCCCTGCAGAAACTGGAGGAGGCTGAGAAGGCTGCAGATGAGAGTGAAAGGTGAGGATCCACACGTACCTCAGTCATAATGTACTAACCACATACATTCTAGACACACCATCAGCTGCAAGGTTGGAAAATGATCACCTCATGGCTTTGAGGGTCCCAAAAATTGCCCATGTTTTCATATGTTTTGGAGCAGTGACGTAAAGCCTCATGGGATGAGTAGGCGATACATTTTAGTTGTGGACAAGGTGGCCGAGCTATTAGTTCTGGAAATATAAGATACAATGAAATAGGATCTCCCAAGAGTGAAATTGGGTGTTAGATGCACAAGAAACAGACCAGATAAAGATACAAAAAATATCAAATTTAGAGCAAAATATAAGGAAGCTAAACTATTAATAGAAATTAAATTTAAAATATGTACAGGACAAGAGCCGGTTCGTTTTTTCTTCTTCTGTCAAGTCTGTGGTTGTTTTTTGTCAGTTTAGTATGTCCAGTGAGCTCATTTGCATGCCAGCATGAGGTGCAGAACAGACTCCAAGCATCCGAATAATGTTGATACTCGAAACCACAAACGCATGAACAGGTAGGCAGAGGAAGTAAATTTGTGTTCAACTAAAGGCCGTGTGTCTTTTCTGATCTTCAGAGGCATGAAGGTGACTGAGAACAGAGCAATGAAAGATGAGGAGAAGATGGAGATCCAGGAGATTCAACTCAAGGAAGCGAAACGCATCGCTGAGGAGGCGGACTGCAAATACGAGGAGGTACGGGCACTGAGATCACATTTCAGCTGACTTTCGGTTTTCAGATACATTTTTGCTTAGCTGTGATTTAACATCTTTTTTTGATATCAGGTTGCCCGTAAACTGGTAATCATCGAGGGTGAGCTGGAGAGGGCAGAAGAGAGGGCAGAAATTGCAGAACTGTAAGCACAAATTGAAGAAGTTATATGAATGCTTGCAGATGTCATTCAGTTGTTATCAGATAACAGGTCAACATCAGACATATTCAGAAAATGCAAATGTGTTTCCTCTATGCATACAGCAAGTGTGCTGACCTGGAAGAAGAGCTGAAGAACGTCACCAACAACCTGAAGTCGCTAGAGGCTCAGTCTGAGAAGGTAAGTGTTGTTAATCTCTCAGCAGTTTGACCTTTTTAAAACATCTTCTCACAATCAACGGAGTGGCTCAGTGCGACCACCCAGCAGAGCATCTTGATGTATTATCACATTTTATGAAGCTGAGGAAGTGTTACCCATCAATTCAGCTGCCTACATATCCATATTCTGTTCACAATGAGCTTCAAAACTGTAGAACTCTCATCTGACATTCTGAAAAAAAGAGACAAATGTCATGTATCGGTAACATTTATATCGATTATGTTTACGACATAGATATTGAGCACAAAAAGGCAGAATGAAGAATGTTCCCTTATGATAAGATTGCTATATTTATTGTTTTGGCTGTGAGATAACTTTCGTCACCTATTATATCTCTGTCTCTATAGTACTCTGAGAAAGAAGACAAATATGAGGAGGATATTAAAGTCCTGAGTGACAGACTTAAGGAGGTAAGTTCATGCCTACTATACTCTATTCTCTTAGGAAAGCCGAGTCGGGATGGTTAACATGTGTGTTGTCTCTTCAAAGGCGGAAACCCGCGCTGAATTCGCAGAGAGGACAGTGGCTAAGCTGGAAAAGACCATAGATGACTTAGAAGGTACACTTCATTTGAATCCTTTTTTCTTTTCAATCCTTCAGTGATCCACTCTTTCCATACTCAACCTTTGTTCCAAACTTTAACATTCTGAATCTTCTTATTCTTAATCGTTGATTTCTCTTTTTCCTCCTGATTTCCCATCATGGTCTGCACAATTCTGCCTTCTCCTCTGAACCTCCTCCACCTGCTCCCTCTCTCTGCCCTTTGACCTGCAGACGAACTGTACACTCAGAAGCTGAAATACAAGGCTATCAGCGAGGAGCTGGATCTTGCCCTCAATGATATGAACACCTTGTAAACCTTGCTCATGATGTTTCTACTTTCCCTTTGTCTCCCCTCGTCCGATTGAAAGCACTTTGTCTTTTCTTTTTCTGCCCCTTGCTCCTTTTGCGTTAAACTAAAGCTCAATAAAGATATTTATCTCTTTTATTCTGTCTTCTGTCATTTGAGTTCTGCCTGCTTTTTATCACTCAGAAGCTACAACAGTTTATATATATTTTTTTGGCCGTTATGAAAAGGTCAAATTTGTAGGTTAACGTATTGTACTCGAGTGTTTCCTTTGGTATTTCTGCTCTAACCATATATTAATAGATCACCCATTGCTCTTATATGATCAATAATCTGTTCACTGACAAAGCCATTGCATTTCATATCTGTTGTTACTTTTTATTGCAGAGAGCCTATCGAAAGAAAAGGAGCAAAACGTAGGAATGCATCAAGTCCTGGACCAAACACTCCAAGAGCTGAATAGCTTGTAAAATGCCAAGAAGAACGTCAAGCAAATAAAAAAGCAAACACTTGTTTTGCAAAAGATATTTTCTACATGCTATCCATTCTCTGTAATTTTCACTCTTAATCCTGGATGTTAAAACACATGTACCCCTTTTATATATTTATGGTTCTTTTTGTTTCTTTACCTTTTTGTTAAATGGGTTTGGGTCCATATGCTTATCAGTTTCGGTGCTGGAAATTGTGTTGTAGACCGAATTCTGAGCGCAAATAAAACTGATGATGTGAGTTTTTTATGTGTTGTGTAGACTATGTTTATGTACGCACAGTTCTGCATGTGTGTCCTTCTGGCAATTTCAACACAGAGCCATAAACTACCTCTCCCTTCAGTTTACATGTGCTAACATGCACAGTGTTTTCTTTGTGCTCTGCTAAGACAAGAGGAATTGTCAAATACAAAACTGGAGATATGGCTCAGCTGCAGGTCCCACAACAATGTCACTGATTCTGACATTGTTTCACACAAGCACCACACACAAAAGGAGTAATGAGTACTAAATAATAACTAAACTCTCTCCATGGCAACTGTGCAACTTCATTGACTGAAGAAGGCCATGCGATGTAATTGAAAACTCCGAAACAGCAACTAAAATGGACCTAGTGTTGAGATTTTTTGCCAAAAATAGTGACGGCCTTCTAAAATTGAGTACCACAAAATACTGCAGTCCCAATTTTTAAGTAAAAGCCAAGAAGGATTATCATGAATAAAATATCAAAAGTAGAAGTAGGCTAATCTAAAATGGCCTGCTTCAAAGTATTATTGTATGTCATTGTATAAATATATTATGTATGCAGCATTTTATCTTATCTTGTAATGCATCATATTTTATAAAATTGTAAATGTGTTTTGCAAGTAAAATATGAATCTGCATAATAGATCACTACAGCTGCATAATAAGTGTAGTGGAGTAAAAAGAACATTTAGGATGTCACTGGTAAGCACAAGAGTGAAGTAGCATAAATGAAAATACTCTATATAAGTACAAGTACCTAGAAAGTATACTTAAGTATGCCACTTGAGTACTGAAGGCTGCAGTTGGTAAAGTGAGTAAACGCCTTCTGGTCCCAGTGAGATATAAACAGCCAGCAGGGGGCGTGTCGCCTACATTCTGTACACTCAGTTCGCTGATCCGCCGGGCGGGATTTCCGCAATAATATCAAGTATGGCGAAGACATACGACTATTTGTTTAAATTACTGTTAATCGGCGACTCTGGTGTCGGGAAGACTTGTGTCCTCTTCAGGTTTTCAGAAGACGCCTTCAACTCGACGTTTACCGCAACTCTTGGTACGGTTTTTGGTGACGTGATGTTGAACTGTATTTCTGTCTGTTTACAACACGCCAAAGAGCTGTCTCAGTGGCTCCGTCTACTTACTGGTGTGCTACGGTTAAGGGTTGAAGTAACGTTAGTTTCTCTTTGTCATTAATAAAGAGCCTGTACTTCATTTATTTATGTATTCATTTATTTAAGACATTACATTACAAACAACAGAAAAAAAGAAAGTAAGAAAAAGAAAAAAATAATGTAATTGTGTCGAGTGTGTGCGAGCATGTGAGAGTAAGCATGGGCTTGTGTTTGTTCAGGGATGTTGGTTTATACACCTGCAGTAACTCCTTAGCAATGGTAATGCAAGTCCCTATGAGTGAAACAACTATACATGTAATATAACAGCTAAAACAAGAAAGACATGAACACTAATACATAAAAAAACTATTACTATTAGATTTTCTTTTAGGCACCTTTTGACATTTTTTTGTTAGTTGGGAAAAGTCATTCCATAATTTGGTTCCCCTAAATCTTATTGAAAATTGACCTCTGCTAGTCAGTAATTTAGCAGGATGAAGATGTGAAGATTGACGAGTTGAGTAAAAGTGAACCTGTGAATTGAATTTGTAGTAGGTCTTGAAATGTACTTATGCAATGACGAGAAGCCGAGCTGCCGTTTTTCTTAGTCCACAAGTGTCATTTTTGTATCACAGTAGTGTCGACTAATGTTTGACAGGTTGCTACAGTAAGCTAGCAAGTTAACGTTATGATTGACGTGCACGATCCTTCTTTATCCCTCCAGGCGTTGATTTCAAGATTAGGACAATAGAGCTTGACGGCAAGAAGATAAAGCTACAGATATGGTAAGTTTATAAAAATTCCTTTAACTCAGAACGACATGCTAGCAGTGTGTGGCTAATAAAGAAATGATGACTCACACTTAACCTAAGTGTCCTTACAGATGTAGAATAGGGTGCCTACAGATCATTAACGCTCTTAAAATGTGAATTATCGGCCGTAAAGATTGTTCAACTTTTTCAGAATTGAATCTACACGTTCATTATTGTAATTTTAACAGAATTGATTTCACCCGTCTTAATACATAGCTGGCATACTTAACTGCAGTGACATAGTGTTTTTAACTTTTCCAAAAGTTATCCCAATATTGGTCTTAAAGGCATTTCATATTTCTTCTGATATATGATACCCTTGATGATACTTTCTGATATATGAGATGTCACAATTCTGGTGTTTTTCAGGGATACGGCCGGTCAGGAGCGCTTCCAAACAATCACAACAGCCTACTACAGAGGAGCAACGGTGAGCGTCTCCAAGTGTTGTCAAACAAATGTAATACAAATCCACTCTACTGTGAAACCACCGATCTTGAGCTCTATTATTGTCAACACATTTGATTTTCTTTACAGGGCATCATGCTTGTCTACGACATCGCCAACGAGGATTCTTTTGAGAATATCAAGAACTGGATTAGGAACATAGAGGAGGTATTTAATGGCTCAAATAGACCCTCTTTGTTTTTGCTTGCTACTTTTTCAAATATCCAAATGGCACCATGTAGAGTGTTGTTTTTATTTAATTGTTCTTCTCTTGATCCAGCATGCATCATCAGATGTTGAGAAGATGGTCCTCGGCAACAAGTGTGAAATCAACGACAAGCGGCAGGTGTCCAAAGACAGGGGCGAGAAGGTGAGAAGCTTGGTTTAAGTTAAAGTAATACATTGTCACTGGGTTATACTTGATAATAAATAAAAACATTGCACTATATTAGATGTATATGATATAGTAAAACATGTCAACAGACTTGGTGTTGGAGCAATAATGTGGTTTTGTTGTTTTCTTATGTCTTTGAGGGAAACATGGGGTGTGTACACATGCAGTTCTGACATTGAACAGTGGGTGGTACATTAACCTAAATGTGCATATATGTAAGTGCCTGGTAATGAGGATCAGGTGTGTGTGTGGACGGGAAGCTAACAGTTTTTGACCGTGTCAACGTGCCGTGTCAATGTAGCGTGTCAGCCGGCATGTGAGCTAGTTTCAAGGGCTTATACTATCCTCTAAAGTATCCTGTATTCTGTTACGGTGCCAATATGTATTTGAATAAAAGGATCTAAAGAAAGACAGCGCATTGGACATTGAAATGTTTGTGGAACACGCGTCCGAACAAGTTCTCCCGTTCGCCCTCCAGTGGCTTTAAAATGGATAGTTGTTAAAGTCACTACACTTGGTAAAATGTAAAGTTTTTCTTCCATTTTCTTTCAGCTCGCATTGGAGTATGGAATAAAGTTCATGGAGATCAGTGCAAAGGCCAACATCAACGTGGAAAATGTAAGAAGCCATTCTTCCTTGAGTTATAATCTGCCCTATAATAAGAGATCACATGTCATCAATGTGACGACGTGTGTATTTATTCTGGTTTACAGGCATTTTTGACACTTGCCAGAGACATCAAATCAAAAATGGACACAAAATTGGTAAGAAGTCATTGATTGTACATCTTAGTTCTTTGCAATGTGAGAGATTGATAAATGTAATTATTAATTTTTCAGCATCTCCTTAAATATTCTTGTAATGAAGACCCTTTCCATTACAAGCATTTGTGGACTGTTTCAAGGAAATAAGAGACGCACACTAAGGGTTGAGTGTTTTATTGTACTGTACTGCTCAGGTATAGTTATTGAAGGTCGGGCCTGTAGATACAAACATATTATTAGTTTGGTTATCTTTACCAAAAGAATTGAGTATAACCTGTTGTTTAATAGTGCTGTTAAATAACATGTATATTCAAATCACTCACCTCTGCTGTGGGTACATCCCAAATCTCTTATTTGTCATTTCCTCGCTTGAACCGGAAGTTGTTCTGCGCCGCCATATTGACGGCCGTCCCAAAGCTCTTATTTAGCTCGGAGGATCGAGGAGAGATGTCCGAGGAGCCATGAGGGACGACTCATGAGAACAGGCTTCCAGGAAGTGTTTTAACGGCCGACACGCCCCCTCATTGTTCATCAGTTATGTGATTGGACGCTGCAGCTGATCGGACTGATGAGATTTTTTTCAACATGTAAACCGTGAAGACGGATCGCAGATTAAACTCAAGCTTTATATTTGATTAGTTCTCTGATTCACCGTCTGGTTTAAATAAATGTTCATTGTAGACTGAACAACAAAAGGACCACAAACAACTTTCTTCATTTATTAGAAAGATTTGTCTTTTAATAATCACATATTTCCCTCAATAATGTTTATTATGGAAACAATTAAAGTCAGAGAGAGCTGAGAGAAGAAACACTTTTTACATCATTCATCATCATTTCATTCAGTCACGTGAGGCGGATCATTCCTGAGTGTCTGTTTGATGAGTTATATCATTTAAATGTAACCTGAAACATGGAGCCCAATAAATTAATTCCAGTATTCAAGAGAAACCATAATCATATTTTGGGTTAATTAATGACGACACAATCTGAATTTCAAAACGTACAGACGCATTCCATCGGTAGAAATCGATCCTGCGCTCATAAACAGGACACAGTTTGTTAAAAAGGTAACAGTATCCAGAGAGAAAATACCTCTACAGTGATGATTACTGTGTCTTTATTAGTTATTAGTAGTATTAGTTACTATTATTAAGTACAGTGATCATATGAACAGACACAAACTTATCAAAAGTCTCTCCAGCTGTTAAAGCCGACTGCTGATCCAGCTATGAGTCAGCGACCGCAGTCATCAGATACAGGCGTCGCTTCACGTGACTCAACTGAGGAAAGGACTTCTCTTTTCTCTGAAAACATATTTCCTAGTTCCTCTCTCCTTGCATGGTTTCCTCCATGCATCCCTGGTGGGAGGGACTAAGACGCAAGGAAAGGACCCAAGTGAGGGAAACGGGGATGCACCCTAAGAGACTCGGGGTGTACCCCCTGTGTCTCCTCTCCAGGGTGTTCAGCCTAAAAGAGTCCCTATGAGCACCATTTTATAGTTCCGAGAGCTGAGCCAGCAGTTCTACGTGACAGCATTGACCTGTTCATTTGTCATTTTGCAGGAGGGCAACACGGCTCAGGGCAGCAGTCATGGAGTCGAGATCTCAGAGCCTCAGAAAAAGACCAGCTTGTTCCGCTGTAGCCTTCTCTGAGGACCGAGGTCTTCGGTACTGGTTGCCAGCTGGCTGGACATAAATGGACTGTGCTTGCTCTTAGCACTTCCTTCTTTCTTCCCATCCACGGCCTGTCCTCCCAGTCCACACGAGCCATTATATTCCCAGTAAGCGAAGGACTTCCCCCTCCTCTCTTCCTCTTCTGAAAACTTCCAGTGGTGCATCGCTTCCATTTTAAGGAAATCTGTTGTCTTCATGTTTATAAATTGAAAATGTGTTTTGCAAGTAAAATATGAATCTGCATAATAGATCACTACAGCTGCATAATAAGTATAGTGGAGTAAAAAGAACATTTAGGATGTCACTGGGAAGCACAAGAGTGAAGTAGCATAAATGAAAATACTCTATATAAGTACAAGTACCTAGAAAGTATACTTAAGTATGCCACTTGAGTACTGAAGGCTGCAGTTGGTAAAGTGAGTAAACGCCTTCTGGTCCCAGTGAGATATAAACAGCCAGCAGGGGGCGTGTCGCCTACATTCTGTACACTCAGTTCGCTGATCCGCCGGGCGGGATTTCCGCAATAATATCAAGTATGGCGAAGACATACGACTATTTGTTTAAATTACTGTTAATCGGCGACTCTGGTGTCGGGAAGACTTGTGTCCTCTTCAGGTTTTCAGAAGACGCCTTCAACTCGACGTTTATCTCAACTATAGGTACGGTTTTTGGTGACGTGATGTTGAACTGTATTTCTGTCTGCTTACAACACGCGAAAGAGCTGTCTCAGTGGCTCCGTCTATTTACTGGAACGGTTAAGGGTTGAAGTAACGTTAGTTTCTCTTTGTCAAAGAGCCTGTACTTCATTTTAATGTCATACATATAAGTAACTCATTAATACGAGATGACAAGGGGAAACATTGTAACCCGTGTGTTTTGAAGAAGACAAGTGTATGAGTACCAACGTTTGCGTTGTATTATATATTCATGCCGGGTGGCTCCCCTTCCAGCTAGCGGTAACATTTGCGGTTAGCTAAGTAAATGTTAGCTCTAGCAGTAGCCTTTAGGTGCCGTCTATATTCTGGTATGAAACCGGAAAGCCTGACTTATAACCCGTCGTAACTGGTTAATTTAAGCATGATACCAGCTCTGTTATTCTCAAATGCACGTATTACTGCCGTATGCATGACAAGAAGCCGAGCTGCCGTTTTTCTTAGTCCACAAGTGTCATTTTTGTATCACAGTAGTGTCGACTAATGTTTGACAGGTTGCTACAGTAAGCTAGCAAGTTAACGTTATGATTGACGTGCACGATCCTTCTTTATCCCTCCAGGCATTGATTTCAAGATTAGGACAATAGAGCTTGACGGCAAGAAGATAAAGCTACAGATATGGTAAGTTTATAAAAATGTAATTCCTTTTCACTCAGAACGTCTGACATGCTAGCAGTGTGTGGCTAATAAAGAAAGGATGACTCACACTTAACCTAACCTAAGTGTCCTTACAGATGTAGAATAGGGTGCCTACAGATCATTAACGCTCTTAAAATGGGAAGTAAAGATTGTTCAGTTGTTTTAGAATTTAATCTACATGTTCATTATTGTAATTTTAGCAGAATTGATTTCACCCTTTATTAACAGTTTCTCTTCAGTGACACAATCACATCCTTCAAAAATCATCAATCGAATGCCAATCTCTACATTGACCCCTAGCTAATATACCAAAGCCTCTTATCTTCCTGCAATACTGGCGTGTTGGAAAAAGTCCATTTAAGATAAACCAACCTTCTTAATACATAGCTAGCATACCTAACTGCAGTGACATATTGTTTTTAACTTTTCCAAATGATATATCCCAATATTAGTCTTAAAGGCGTTTCATATTTTTCCTGATCTTTCTGATATATGAGATGTCACAATTCTGGTGTTTTTCAGGGATACGGCCGGTCAGGAGCGCTTCCGAACAATCACAACAGCCTACTACAGAGGAGCAATGGTGAGTGTCTCCAAGTGTTGTCAAACAAATGTAATACAAATCCACTCTACTGTGAAACCACCGATCTTGAGCTCTATTATTGTCAACACATTTGATTTTCTTTACAGGGCATCATGCTTGTCTACGACATCACCAACGAGAAGTCTTTTGAGAATATCAAGAACTGGATTAGGAACATAGAGGAGGTATTTAATGGCTCAAATAGACCCTCTTTGTTTTTGCTTGCTACTTTTTCAAATATCCAAATGGCACCATGTAGAGTGTTGTTTTTATTTAATTGTTCTTCTCTTGATCCAGCATGCATCATCAGATGTTGAGAAGATGGTCCTCGGCAACAAGTGTGACATCAACGACAAGCGGCAGGTGTCCAAAGACAGGGGCGAGAAGGTGAGAAGCTTGGTTTAAGTTAAAGTAATACATTGTCACTGGGTTATACTTGATAATAAATAAAAACATTGCACTATATTAGATGTATATGATATAGTAAAACATGTCAACAGACTTGGTAAAATGTAAAGTTTTTCTTCCATTTTCTTTCAGCTCGCATTGGAGTATGGAATAAAGTTCATGGAGACCAGTGCAAAGGCCAACATCAACGTGGAAAATGTAAGAAGCCATTCTTCCTTGAGTTATAATCTGCCCTATAATAAGAGATCACATGTCATCAATGTGACAACGTGTGTATTTATTCTGGTTTACAGGCATTTTTGACACTTGCCAGAGACATCAAATCAAAAATGGACACAAAATTGGTAAGAAGTCATTGATTATACATCTTAGTTCTTTGCAATGTGAGAAATTGATAAATGTAATTATTATTTTGTCAGCTTCTCTTTGAATATCCTATTATGTAAAACAAAACGTTCCCTATCGATAGCAGTGGGCCTCTGGTTGTTGAGAAGTACATGAGGATTCCTGTAGAGGATGTTGATGAACCATATGAGAGCAGCTGCTGAGCCAGCAGTTCTACGTGACAGCATTGACCTGTTCGTTTGTCATTTTGCAGGAGGGCAACACGGCTCAGGGCAGCAGTCATGGAGTCAAGATCTCAGAGCCTCAGAAAAAGACCAGCTTCTTCCGCTGTAGCCTTCTCTGAGGACCGAGGTCTTCGGTACTGGTTGCCAGCTGGCTGGACATAAATGGACTGCTTGCTCTTAGCACTTCCTTCTTTCTTCCCATCCACGGCCTGTCCTCCCAGTCCACACGAGCCATTATATTCCCAGTAAGCGAAGGACTTCCCCCTCCTCTCTTCCTCTTCTGAAAACTTCCAGCGGTGCATCTCTTCCATTTTAAGGAGATCTGTTGTCTTCATGTGTCAGAGTGCTTTACTGATAGAGGACTCCACCAGGAGCATTGTCCAGATGTTCTTCATCACACAAAAGACAGGCTCTTACTTCTGGTGTTAGTCTTTTTGTTCTACACACTCATATTTCACACAGCCGGTAGCATAACCGGGGATGAGAAATCATTCAATTATTGTCAAGGTTTTGGGATTGCGAATACAAATGTGAGATTGAGATCTATTTTTATTAGTGCCCTTTCCATTTTTAAGTGGTAAATGTCAACCAGAGACTGATAGGCTTGAACTCTAGTGAAACAGAGTTGCACATGCTTTCATTTTAGGAGTTGTGAATCAAATCACTCATCAGGCAGTCAAGGATCAGAGGAATTGGATTGAAAGGTTTTCCATTTGAGTTCTGCTCATTGATTTGCAAGTAGTCCTTGACAATCATTCGATGTGACTTAAAATGTCTGTTTCATCTTGTCCTGATCATAACACAGTGCCTCCAACTCATTTTACCCTTTCTGCTAAAGCTTCCAAGGCAGTTTGGCAACACAAAACCTAAAAATACAATTCAGATTTCTGCCTCTGTAGATACATTTCTGCTGTCAAATTATCAGCAGAACATTGGTGAGGTGACGTTCTCCTGCTTAGGCTTTCTCTGGTGTAGTTTCCTGCTGGAAAGTATTGTACACTGTGGCGTGAAAGTGAAAATGTGCAAACACTGCATCGTGACCCATATGTAAGTACACAATTTGGAAACTATTAGGATGTGCACAACAGTACAATATAAATAATCCAACATTTTGTAATTGTGTAATTGTGCATTTAATAATTATTCTTATACAACATCAGAAAATCGTAAAAAAAAAAAAAAAAAGACTGGCTGTTAAAGTTTCCTAAAGCTCAATGTGACGTCTTCAAATGTGTCATTTTGTTTTCAGTCCGAATCCCCCAAATATTCAGTTTACTATCACATAAAACAAGCAGCAAATCATCACATTTGAGTAGCTGGAACTAGCGAATGTTTGGTGTTTTTGTTTGGAAATTGACTTAAATAGCTGATCAAAATAATGTAAAGTGTTTCCTTTAATTTGACTCGGAAGGTTTTGTTGCAACTCTGATTCACAGTCGAGCTAAATGATGTCTCCGGTTATTTCATCAGCAATTAAAATCTCTCTAGAAGTGTCTCACTGTAAGCCCCTCCTTCTGCTAGCCATGCAGCTCTCCTTGCACTTTACCAGTAACTCGTGTTTTGTATGTAGTCTGTGTGCCAAGTGATAGTTTTGCAATACAACAATACAATTACTTAGTTAAAAAAACGTTTTGAATCTCATATAATGGGCCTAATTTCTACTCTTTTTTTTTTTTTTTTTGTTACACCTACTTATAAATTACTTGATCTCTTTGGCTATTTCACTACTAGTGATCCACTGTCCTGGTATTAGTTCACTGAAAAACATTGCCCTAACGTACTAATATATATTTATAAAAGAAAGAAGAATTAACGAGCCTTTGTTTCTATGCTACTGCCCTGCAACATTCTAGTTTAACAGTTTCTTGACTTATTACATCAACGCTGGCTCGTCTGACGCTGAAAGATGGCCCGTTAGTATTATTGTACACTTTCTCGTGTGTCTGTTGTTTGATTGTGGCCCTTTTAGTTTGACAGCTAGGTGGCACCAGAGGCACAGTATGCACTATAGGTGGCCATCTGAATTTCCATCCGTATTTTATTAACAGCGTGAGCCACAGCGATCCAAACATGTACCCACTATTTGACATTGATGTTGAGTCTCAATCTGTTTCCACTGTTCCTCGTGAAGCCGTCCTCCATTTGTTACTATTCTGAAAATCAAACTCCTATATGCACAATTTCGAGGGAGGATTTGCTTTTGCTTGCCTGCACTTTCCTTTTATTTTTTTTACAATATCCAATAATTCGGGACCTCGTGACTACCATGGCCATTTGTCTTAACCGCTAATACTCAGTTCTGTCATAGGCGAGCTATGCATTGTGAATCTTGGACCTGTGCATATTTGTGTGATGTAACTTTCAGCCATACTTGTAGACCTATACAGTTGAATGTATGGGCTTTTTGTTTTGTTTGTGTCATTCACTGAGTCAAACACGGGCCTCTGTAGAAATGGCATTGCTACAACGATGCCAGCGGAATTGATCATGACGGAAGATTAAGTAGGAAGAGACGGTGGCGATAGTGCTGTTGTCTCATTCAAGTGATACTGTAGCTTTAAGTCATAAACATAGAGAGCAGACCTTTTTGTGGGACTCAAACGGCATCACTTTCAGCTGATATGATACTTTGATTTTGTTTTTTTTACATCATATCCTTTAATAATATACTGTACATCCCTTTTTACAGCCATATATTCATTCCATTGATTGTGAAGTACACAGGGAGAAAAATAAAATACATTTTGAAGAAAAAAAAAAAGAAGTGAAAAATACATTTGTAAATACCACATTGAAAAAAGACATCTACTTAAATTGTACTGTACTTTCTAAACCCATATGAAAATGTATCTACAATTTGTAGGTATGTGTACTTTTGATTTAATAAAATACGATTATAAAAGTTGCTTCCCCTATTCACTGTCTCTATTGGCTGGCTGTCAGAGGAAACTACACTGTCAGTTGACCCCATGCTGCCACAATGGAGCTCGACTGCTTTAATGACAAATGGCTCTCCTTTTATTGGCCCGCTATGACCCACTGGAATATTCTACTTTTATAGTCTGCTGTAACTGAACCCCCTCTGATACAAAACGCAAATCTACTGTCTGGTCATAACTAATGAGCCTTGTCTTGATGGGTTGGTTGCTGCGTCCTTGTGATGATAGACCTGCTGCAGTGACACTGTGACCGGTGTTATTTCTGCAGCTGCGATGATAAAAGGAAAAATCAGATGTGGGCTCACTATGTTCATACAAATCCAACGTGTTTACAGCAATGGCCGCCGTTAAGACGAGACAAGTCTCTTAAGTATTTACTCTGGATACTAAATGTCAAAATCAGATTATCTCTGAAGATCAGAATGTTTGTCTTTCCAAAGAAGGAGAAAAATGTAGTTATTGACGAGATGAGATAGTTGATTTTATGGGTGACGTCATCATTCCCCCATTTTCCAGACATTCTGCCATATTATAAGTCCGTCCTTGGGTGATATTCAAATGCACATGGTTGCTTCAATTCTTTAGATCCTTATGTGGAAGGTGCTGTGAACAGAAATAAGAATAGATTGATTTCCTCATTAGAAGTCCCTGTTAAAAACTGATGTAAGTAGGTAAATGCACATTAGATGACGATCATTGGTACACACAAGATGTATTTTTCTGTATTGCTTGTAATGGTTGTAACCGTTGGCCTACCTGAGGAAGTCTGGAGCTCGAACAATCATGTGCTGGAAGTCCTCCAGTGACAGACGTCCGTCGTTGTCCAGGTCAGCCTCGTCTATTACCTTCTCACACACCATCCTCACCTCGTCCTCTGTCAGCTCGCTGCGAGTCAGTTTGTTCAGCGTCTTCTCCAGGTCTGACTTGCAGATGAAGTCGTCATTGTTGAAATCTTCCGGAAAATGGAGAAGAAGGAGATATGAAATATTTGCTCGATCATTAGTTGAGCAACAATTTTGATTATTGTCTTTCGACAATATTTAACTAAATATCTTGGGGTTTGGGACTAATTTGGTGAGACAAAACAATTTAATAAACAGATTAATCAATAATTAGGGTTACATACAGATGCAGCTGATATTTTGTGACAATATTCAGTGTATTGAAATTAGACTTTTCCCTCCAAATAAAAGCATAAACTCCCATAGTTTTATTGTCAAGGTAGAAACTGCAATGTTGGTATCATGTTACAGGAATATCTTGATCCGTACTTGCAGCACTGACTGAATATATGTTTACCCAACACATCCAGTCCTTCAGGGGCAAATACAGTAGGTATCTGAGGCAATGGGACCATGCTTTTACAGTATGTCAACTTCCATGTTTTTGTTTCGCCCTCTTTTGGTTTGAATAATGAATGAAAGGTTTCCTTGACCCATGGCGACGATGTGTACGTAACTTCTTCATCTTTCAGCGTTTGTTAATTAGGGGGGACTCGAGTGCTGAGGACAAACTGTCCTTTGACGAGCTCTCTGCCTCTATGACGGGGCTGGTTAATCATTCATGACATTCCATGCACCGTCCATCATGCTTACAGCTCCAAAACCTTTCACCATGATCCCTTTTCATATGCTTGTACCATATTAAAATTAAAAAGATATCCATGTTTTATCTACTGTTATTGAACCTGTTTCATAGTTAAAATGTATACAACCGATTGAATGAATTTGTTGCACAAAGGTGAGGCCTGTTTTGGTATCAGGGTGCTTTATGTTGCCCTTTATGGGACTCCGGGCCCTCTTTGACAGCAAGAAAACTACTTTACTTGTTTTATCATCTTGATACCTAAAGAATTTCTTAATATTATTATAATTATTT